CTGTCTGTCTGTCTGTCTGTGTGTGTGTGTGTGTGTGTGTGTGTGTGTGTGTGTGTGTTTGTGTGTTTGTTTGTCTGTGTAGCCCCGTGCTTGTCTGCGTGCTTGTCTGCGTGCCTTCTTCCGTGCATTTGTTGCTTCGCCCCTGTCTCTTCCCTTGTCCGCTCACACACCCATACACGCGTGTACACGTACACGTACACGTACACATACAGGCGTGTTTGTGCGACGCTCGCGGCTGACGAAGATCGAGGCGTCACCAGAGAAGCATGCCAGCCCGGCCCGCACCCCAATCTCAACAGCGCCGTACGTCCTTTCACCGCGTGCCGGCCGTGGAAATGTGTTGTTGGCTGTTGATATGTGTTGTTGGCTGTCGACATGTGTGTGGACTTGTGTGGGGGTGGGTGTTTGAGCTGCCTGCCACAACCCTTGCCTCGCATCCTGTCTCATGCTTCCCCCCTCAACCTCCACCACCAACACCAACACCAACACTAACACCCCAAACCAACACCAACACCAACACCCCAAACCAACACCAACACCCCAAACCAACACCAACACACCACGACCACCCCTCCCCCCTACCAAAACAAATAGGCGGCGACGGTCGAGCCGGGCCCCAGCGCCGTTCACAGCCCCGACGTTCCGCACCAAAGGCAGCATCCGCCCAGACCACGGCAAGGCAGCCGCCATGGAGAACTACACATTCGTCCATCACGTACGCTGCTGTTAGCGGCTGCTTGCCTGCCCTACTTGTTGTAACCACACTTGTGCTGTTCTCCCCCCCCCCCCTTGGCTGCCTCCTCTACCAACCTCTTTGCTCCTCCCCCTTTCCTCACCTCAAACACACACACACACACACTCACACACACACTCACACACACACGCACAGCGTGAGAGCCCGACGTCGTCGACGCACGGGTCTCAACCGACCAGCCCCGCCCTCTCCCGCCGCAGCACCACGCACTCCAACATCGGCACCCCGCGCACAGACACATCCACACCCATGGCGCGCATGCCAAGCACACGCGGCTCCGGCACACGCAAGAAGGGGTCATCGTTCAGGTCGGAGGTCCCACGTCACCTCCAACAGCAGCAGCAAGCGGCATCGCCCAAGACCCCTGCTGGCATTGACTCGTTTGGCGTGCAGTCGCGCGTGCTGTGCAGCGGCAAGATTGGCACGGTGACGTATGTTGGGCCGTCCCATCTTGGCGAGGGCACGTACATTGGCGTCATCTTCTCCCACGCACCAGACAACGGCCACAACGGCACGGTATGATGCGACAACACGTGTCTGTGTCTGTTTTCGTGTGTGTTGAAGTGTGTGCTTAGTGTGTGTGTTGAAGTGTGTGCTTAAGTGTGTGCTGAAGTGTGTGTTTGTGTGTGTTGAATTGTGCTTAAGTGTGTGTTTGTAATGTTTTGTGCTCCCATGCCTCCTCTTCTCCTTCCTTCTCTCCGTCTTCTTCCTCCTTCTCCTGCTCCTCCTCCTTGTACTCCTAACACCACGTGTCCTGCTCCCTCAGGTGGACGGCCACACGTACTTCAAGTGTGGTGCTGGACACGGCTTGCTGGTGCCCGCGACGCGCGTGCACTGGCACGGCAGGCGTGCAGATAAGGTCCTGAAGGACAATCGATGAGCGAACCACGAACGCCCGCACGTGCACTTACTACGCACGCGCTCTTATGCACAGACACGTGCATCAACAGCAAACCTGCGTTCTTGCGTTTGGTGATGGCGAGGCTGGCGAGGCTGACGATGCTTTCTCTTCTTCCTCTTCCTCTTCTTCTTCCTCCTGCCCTGCAACTTTCATGCTTTCCTGTTCACCCTTGCTTCTGTACACTTGACCACTTGAACACATGCAACGTGTGGATGACTCGTGGAGAGTGATGTGACCTGTGACATGATGTGACCTGTGATGTGAGCGAGACAAAGTGTTCACCACACACACACACACACACACACACACACACACACACACACACACACACACACACACACACACACACACACACACACACACACACACACACACACACACACACACACACACACACACACACACACACACACACACACACACACACACACAACAAGCAAGTTCAAACCTTGGCGGAGCGGGCACGCGATCAGCCCGATCACGCCACTTCGCCACCGCCACGATGGCGAGTGCGACTAATGCGCACGTGCCGAACTAATCTATGTGCACAACATACAAAAGCTTGACATATCCACCGCACCTTTCACCTTTTTGCAGTTTTCGCGGTTGCGAAAGCTATTGCCAAATCGCTCTTCTTTTGGCTGGCCAACCGTTTGCCGCACCACACACACTTCTCGTGCTCCACAACAAACAAGACCTTGTGCCACCCCTCCTCCTCGCTCGCTTGCTCGAGATGATGCGCTCTGTTGCTGGCGGGCTTCGCCGGCTCCTTGCCGCACAGCATGTGCCCTTCCGCGCCTCCTCCTCGGCTTCCCGTGCCATGAGCACCACCGGCCAGGAGCCTTCCTTCTACCAGGCCGTCGAGATCTACTTCGACGAGGTGTGTGTTTGTGTGTCTGCGTCTGCTCGTGTGTATGTGCGTGTTTGACGTGCTGAGCACCAGCATGCGTGCGCAAGCGTGAGTGCTTGTATGTCTGTGTCTGTGTGTGTGTGTGTGTGTGTGTGTGTGTATGTATGTGTGTATGTGTGTATCTCTCTGTGTGTCTCTTTGTGTCTCTGTTCGCCCTCCATATCGCCCTCCATCTCCACCTCCACCTTCACCTCCAGCGACTCACACGCGTTTGTGTGGCTGCTGTGAACGTGACCACGTGACATCAGGCCTCTGCTCTGACCAAGCATAACGAGCGCCTTCTCGATGACATCAAGGAGGTGGATTCCCTCATCTCTTTCACGTGAGTCCGCTAACATCACTTGCACGCGCAGCAGCCACATGCGCTGCTTGATCTTCCGTCTTCGCCGTCCTCACACACACACACACACACACACATTGTTGGTTCGCCACTTGCGCACCCCCGCCCTCACCCTGTCCCGTGCTGTGGCTGCAGATTCTCCATTGAGGGTGACAAGATGGACGACCAAGGTCGCCGTGTTCTGACCAAGATCAAGGCTTACCGCGCCCAGCACTCCCACCACCGCCTTCCTTGGTACAAATGGCACTTGCTTGTCACGTGTGCATGCCTGTGTCCGTGTGTGTTCATGTGCAGGAACAACCACTCGTGTGTCACATGCCGTAGTGCCGCACATGTGCAACAAGCTGCGCACAATCATACACACGCACCTGCGCGTACCACACGCTTTCCATGCCTCTCGCGTTCACCCCTCTCCCAATGACCCCACAAACGCTGTCGGCTGTGCACGCTGACAGCAAGGGCGGTATCCGCTACTCCCCCGATGTTGATGCCGATGAGGTCAAGGCCCTGGCCTCCCTCATGACCTGGAAGTGCGCTGTCGTCGATGTGCCCTTTGGCGGCGGCAAGGGTGGTGTTGTGATTGACCCTCGCAAGATGAGCGAGCGCGAACTGGAGAAGGTCACCCGCGCCTACACCCTGCAGCTCATCCGCCACAACTACATTGGCCCCGGTGTGGACGTCCCCGCCCCAGATATGGGCACTGGCGCTCGCGAAATGGCTTGGATCATCGACACTTAGTGCGTCCACCTCTGTGTGTGTGTCGCTGTGTGTGTGTGTGTGTGTGTGTGTGTGTGTGTGTGTGTGTGTGTGTGTGTGTGTGTGTGTGTGTGTGTGTGTGTGTGTGTGTGTGTGTGTGTGTGTTCCTTTGCCTGTGGCATGCGCGATACTGCGCCTGAACCCTTGTTTTAAGTTCCCCCAGCCTCGCCTCCGCCTTCACTTTCTCACTGCCTGTCTTTCCGCTTCCACCATCCCACCACTTCCACCATCACATCCCCCACCCCACCCACTTTTACCAACCAACCAACCCCTGCCACTGTCATGTACAGCCGCGGCATCCGCCCTGACGACGTGTCTGGGCAGGGCGCTGTGACGGGCAAGCCACTGGAGATGGGCGGCATTGCTGGCCGCACGGAGGCCACGGGTCTCGGCGTGTACTTTGGCCTGCGCGACCTTTGCGGCCACCCGGAGATTATGGAGAAGGTTGGCCTCCCCACAGGCACCAAGGACAAGCGTATCGTCGTCCAGGGCTTTGGCAACGGTCAGTGGCACCTGTCGAGAGTGGTGGAGAGATGTGCTTGCTTCGCGCCTGCTTGCCTCTCTGGTGGCAGTTGGCTTGCATTTGCATGCACGTGCACACTCGCGCACACACTTACTCTCTCACTCTCATTGCATTTGCATGCACGTGCACTCACACACACACACACACATACCTCACCTCACCTCACCTCACCTCACCTCACCTCACCTTGCTGTCTCACGCTCAACCACGTTTGCCTTGCCTCATCCCGCCTGCACTGCAGTCGGCTACCACACTGCTCTGTTCTTCCAGCAGCGCGGCGGCGCGCACGTGATTGCCATTGCCGAGCGCGACGGGTACATCTACAACGAGAACGGCATTGACATTCCAAAGCTCAAGCAGTACTTTGACGCTAACGGCTCCATCATGGGCTTCCCCGCTGCAGAGTCCATCGTAAGTTGCCCTCGCTCGCTCTTGCTCGGCGACTCCTGTCTGACTGCGCTGCTGGCAGTTTTGCGCTACTCAGCAGCTTTCCACCAATGCATTGCGCCACTGACACACAAGCACGCACATCCTTACACGTCCAATGTTACCCATCCCTCCCTAACACCGTCGCCTGCTCCCTGCCTCTTTGTTTGCTGCTGCTGCTGCTGTGCGTGCGTTCGTGTGAGCAGAAGGGCGCTGACCGGAGCCTGGAGGCGCT